GTTCTAATCAAAAAGCACTGCTGAAAAAAAAATCCCCTAAATATTTTCAAATGTGAAGAAAAATGTTAGAGTTGACATTGTAGTTGGCATTTTGAATGTGGTAGCTTTCTGTCATGGATTTGTCCTAGGGGATGCAGTTTAATATTTAGAGTGTGCTTCCATCTGTGAGATGATTGTATTTATGGAGATATTTATCCAGTGGTTCCAATCTGTTAAGTTTGCATCTGTGAGTCTGATTTAGTTGGTTTCTATACATATACAGATTTAATACATTTCCTGGATCATTCCACAGATTTATTAGTATGATGTTTTTGTTCTTTTTATTCTGTCCTTGTAACTCAACCCCTGTAGAGAAAATGATTAAATAGCACTTTCACCCTTTGGAAATATTATTAGATTTTGAGTCTGGTGTTATTTGTTGAATGTTTTAGTTTCAGGCTTCGTTATGCTGAATTTTGTAAAGGCATTTGCTGAACCGAGTAAATTTGAAAATATGGTAAAACCTAAAAGAGTATTTCAGTTCTTTCCACTTATTTGATTGTAAGAAAATACAATTAAACCATGAAAAAGAAGAGACTCAAAATTTTGGAAATGAAAATGGCAAACAAGTTTTTATCAAATGAAATACTATGTGATCAGACTTTTTAATAAAGACTAAAGTTCTTTATAGTGACAGGAAGGGCTTTCTGGAAGAAGCACATCTTAGTCATTCCTTGATTTTCTGAATGTCGGTTGGGTCTGACTCTGCCCGTGTATGATCACGGTGGATGAGACATGATCTGTGCATGTCAGGCGCTCAGCAGTGTAATTGTAGAGATGATGTCTGCACGGAAATAACCACATCACAAGGCAAGCACATGAGGATTTATAACAGTGATGGAGTTAAGCGTTACAGGAGTTTAGATGAGGGGAAACTGCCAGTTGAGTGTCAGGGATATCTTCATGGAAAAGATGAACTTGAGAATTGTTTTACACTGATCATTGTCATTTCCATTTCTAATAGGATCTGGAACATGTCCAGAACTTAAAACACCTGCTGAACCTGTGGTTAGCTGAGAGTGACATAATGGTTAAGAGTAGAACATCTACCATGTCCTCAGGAAGTGCTACCCGTCATCCTTCAAAACTCAGTCCTGTCCTTGCTCTTCCAGAAAGCCTTTGTTACAAACCAAAGTGTCTGAGTTGCTCCCTCTTCTTTAGTCTTAGAGAAGCCTCACCCTATCATTGTCAGAGCATTCATTTGTAAGATCGATTTCTAATTGTCACTTTACTCCTCTGTCTCTCCTGCTGGAGTCCCTTGAGGTTAGGGGACATGCATATTCCACACCTAGCGTTATTCCTAGTGTCTAAGGCTCAGTAAATTTTTGTTGAATGATTGGATACAACAAAGATTACATTCAGTATAAGAAAATGGATACAAGGTTGATAACAGTGATGATGGAGAGAAATGGATGAATTCAGGATATGTTTTGAGGTAGAAATGACAGGGTTTCTTGGTGGATTGGATATGAAGAATGAAGGAATGGATAAGCCAAACTTGAGGAAGTTGGTAATGCTGTTAATTGACGTGCAGGGGACTGGAGGAAAAATAAGCTGTCTTGCAAATGCTGCTTGAGAAGCCTCCACCGTTTGAGTAGAGCTATCAAAGAGGCAAGTTTGCGTGTGTGTGTAGAGCTCAGAGAAGAGATCAAGATAGGAAATATAAATTGAGAAGACAGCATATAGTTGGTATTTTAGGCTATGTAGCTGGATGAAATTGCTTTGTGAGAGAATGTAAGCAGAGGAGAGAGAGAGAGCCCCAAACCAGTCTTACCACGAGTGCTCCAGCGCAGTGCTCTGGAAGAGTTGGAGGGGCTAGCAAAAGAATCCAAGAAAGTAGGAAAAACTAGAGGAACTTTCTCAAGGAGTTGCCAGTTGGATCAAATGCTGCTGAGGGATTCAGATGAAAAGTGAGAAGTGATCATTGCATTTGGCAACATGTGATTGTTGGTGACCTTGACTCTGCAGGGGTAGGGTCTGGAAGCCAAGTTGGAATCCCTTCCAGACTGCCTGGGAAGTCAGGAGTAGGAATCTGTAGGAGCTAGATTTTTAAGTAGCCTACGCAGGGGGTGGGCATCATGTCTTTCAGCATCACCAGATTATCTCATCAATTTCCATCCTGAACTCAGGCACTTTTCCTCTTTCTGAGTGTTCCGTTATTAACAGACTAGCCTTCCTCCAGGGGTCCAGACTGGAACCTTCACAGTGAATGTACTCCTCTCTTTCCTCCGCTTATGCCCATGGGATCAGTTGCCAGGACTATCGAGAGTCTTCTCTGTGGCATTTTGCAAACTGGACTCCTCCTGTTCATCGCCCTTGCCACTTATGTTGCTCTTCCCAGGCACTAATTAGCTCTTGTTCAAACTCCTCTGTAGTTTCCTGAGTACTCCTTGCTTTTATTCTCTCCCTTGTCAGTAGATCTATCCATCACAGCTAGAATGTTCTTCCTAAAGCACAGCTTTGCTCTTGCTGTTCTGCTAAAAATAAAACCAGATCCTTTTAGCCTGGCACTCAGAACCCTCTACCTTTTTAACCTTATCTCCCACACCTTTCTCTTCGTTTCAGCCCACAGTTCTCAAGTGTTTGCTCTTGCCTCAATACATAACCTGCATCATCTGGCCTCCGTGCTTTCAGGCTCACTGTCGTGTCTGCTTGGCATGCCTGGCTATCTCTTCTCTTACGTCATGTGTACCTCCAGATGCTTATGACCCCTAATAAATGTGCAGTCCACCCTAGAAACTAGGGCTTTCAGTGCCACTGCTTTACTGTATCCATTCTCTTGAAGTTCCCTAACACTGATTTTCCTTTCAACCACAATTTTCCTTCCCTTCACTACCTCAGCCTATCTTCTTTTTTAGGAAGTGGGGACAGGAATGATTTCCTGTTGGGAAGGACGTTTCTCCGAGATTTTATTAACAGTGTGGTCATGATTCTCTGTAAACAGAGGACGCAGACACCGAGTGCGTGGCGAGGCTTCTTCCTGTTTCCCGGTGGGCACCTTCCCACTGAGGTGACAGGGCAGCTTGGAGGTCGAGAGGTGAGCGTGCACCTCCTGATGAAAGGCAGCTTTCCTCCATCAGGCAGCCATCTGGTGACAAAACAGACACTGGATGATTTGTCTGGCTTTTAGTTGTGGGGATTTAGGGGTGGGAGTAGGGGCAAACGCCTCTGAAATTGTTACTTTCGAGTTTCAGCTTTTTAAAACACAAGGTGTCTTTTGGGAATTTTGCTGTTATACATTCTAAAAGACAGGAAGCCAACCGCACTCTAGAGCTTCGAAAGAAAGGAATCGCCCATTAGAATATGAAACAGAGGGCTCTATCTCTTTCATCCTTCTGGGGGCTTGGGGACTTGCTCACGTGAGGGCATCAGTAGGAAGCAAATGGAAGGTATCTTTGCAGGGTGTTCTCTTATGATCCATGTTGCCTCTCAGGTATTTCCAGTTTCACCCATTATTGGAGAATAAAGTTTTAGGCATGTTTAACTTGTACCTAATTAATCTTTCAAGAATGAGGTGGAGACTGTTGGCTGAAGGGAAACAATTGCCTTTATTTTTATTTTTATTTTTAAATAGGGGATTGAAAATAACATTCTTTGTCTCAGTTAATGAACTACATTGCTGGAGCGTTGTAATGAGGAGTCGGTATTTCCAGAAAAGAGGAGTGAGGTGACCATCTGATTTTAGAGCCTTCCCTGGCTGTGACAAGAGGATTACGTGTCTGGCCTTCCAGTGGGCAGCTTGCCCATCCCCTCCACCAGCTGTTAATTATAGTCAACTATTTTGGAACGTGAGGGGGTATTGTAATTAGTAGTGTGGAATACTGACTCTTGAATTCAAAATAGCCCTAGATCTTTAGTAAAATCTAGAGTGCAAATAAGAGATAAATGTCTCCTATTCTGAGTGGGATAACAAGCTTTTACTAAATAAATTGACCTCCTCAACATTACTTTTTATGAGTACTGATAATGAGGGGAAAATCTAGTTAGAAAATTAAGAAGGAAGACCTGAAAACAACTTGCTTTGACTTCTTTGTCAAAAATGTTTTGTTTTCTGATTGTTCATCTGTTTTCTGCTGCTCTACATTTCCCCCAGGAAACTGGGTATTTCAGGATCCTTAATTGACACTGACAAAATTACAAACCAGAGCATGTCCTGGAGGCTTGGCTCTTTTGTGTCAGGATGAGCTGTGGACCTCAGTCCTTTGATATGAGCTTTCCTCTTTCACTTAAAAAAGGAAATAACTGTTTGTATTCTAGGTGATTTTTAACCAAAGATCTTAAAAATCTATTACTTAATGTTGAACAAATTGTTACGTGCTTTTATAAACTGATTCTTATATATACAAGATGGTTCATTGCTGGTATTAAAATGCTTTTTGGTTTTTTATAAGTGTTTCAATATTTTAATTGTTTAATTCTGGTAGAATTTTTTAAAAAAACCATTAATAAAGTGATAGCAGAAAAACTGAAAATAGTTTCTGTATACTAATTGTATTGGTAATTTCAGTAAAACATAAGTGAACATCCAGAAACACCACTCTGGGCTTTTAAAGTATATGCATTTTTATTATAATCTAAGAGCACTTTCCATTGGGAATAGAGTATTTTAAAATTTGCATTTTCTTAACAGACAAAAAAAAAAATCCCAGACCCTTAAATAGAATAAGAAACCTGTGGTTGCCAGAGGGCAGAGGAGGGGGGTGGGGGAAATAAAGGGGATGAAGACGTATAAATTTCTAGTTATAAAATAAATAAGTCATGGAGATGGAAAGTACTGCATAGGGAATATAGTCAATAATATTGTAATAATGTTGTTTGGTGACAGATGGTGATGACATTTATCATGATGAGCACTGAGCAATGTATAGAATTGTTGAATCGTGCACACCTGAATCTAATATAACACTGTATGTAATTATAACTCAAATAAATAAAATTTACATTTTCTCTTTTTTCTACAGGAAGGAACTCGAAACCTTCAAAGGTAATTTCATGTTTAATTCTTCACTTTAAAGTAAATGATAGTTAATCGATGTCAGATGTTCTTCTCTCGATGAACTCATTCCTTTTTCTTTAAATCAGTTTACAGCAAAAAAAGTTTGCTTAGTACTGTTTTTGTAAGTTTTATTTAATCAAGTGTTTTTGATACCCTCTCTGAGCTGTAACACATACACTGAGAGTTTCTGCTGATGAACATTATGAGTATGTTAGGGTGGCATAGTCCTAACTTTGAGGTTGTTGTGAATCCTAGTTTGAGAAGATTCTGGTTTCTCTTGTGCAAAGGCTGGGCCACATGGAGAGGACATGGTGACCAAGATGTACCCCTGCAGTTGAGCCAGTGGTCACCTGAACTTCCAGAAGGTGTTCAGTGCTGGGTCCTGTCCTGCCACTGTGTTGTAACTTTGGAAAAGTCTCTTGCCTTTTCAGGCTCCATCTCTCCATCTATAACATGAGAAGCATTGTAAACTATATTCTGAGATCTCAAAGCACCCCACGTTGCCTGTTCATTTTAGGGAACTTCTGAAGGTGAGGCACTGGAAAAATAACTCGGGGTCATGCTGACCCTTACTGGCCATGGAGAAGCACTAGTGAAAAATAGAGAAAACCACAGACTTCCAGCAGTTCAAAGCCCTTCCAGCATGCTAGTTTTCAATTACTGATGAGCAATTAGGTAGTGAAGTCACTGTTCTCAGACAGACTCATTTGAGTAACTAGGAAGGCTTTGAATTATTGCCTTTTATATTACACATTAAACTAGTTTTATGCTTCTTGTATTTCACATACAAGCTAGTATTGAGTAAGATTTACTGAGTAAAGATTTTCCAGTTTATCGTTTACAGTTGAATTGTTTATGTGTATGGTCTCTTTGGATGTTTTAGAAAGATGACTAACCTAGATAAAAGGTATAAAGGCTATTCCTGCTGTGACTCTAATTGAACAGACTTGTTTTGGCTGGATTTCTGTTTTAGTGACTACAGTTGCAGTAAATGAGTTCGTGGCCAGTTTGTTGAGGGTAATGTTAAGTGATCACGTGATATAATGTGTTATTATTCCTGATCAATTTGTGCACCAGTATTCATGTACATTGTTTTCTGTCAGTGGTCGAAAGTAAGATTTGAAATGCTCATCCTGTTCTTTCCCCTCATTCTTTCTTTTCATTGGCTAGCAGCATCTTATATAACATTAGGAGAAGAAAAAAAGCAATCAAGTTAATACTGAGAGACAGGCAGGGACACAGATGATGCAAAATGTCAACTTCACTTCCATCTCAGTACTGAGGCCTTTTTTTTTTTTTTTGTATGACAGTATTCACAGCAAAAGAAAAGTTCAGCCATTTGCAAAAGGTTAGGTAGTGTTACGTATTACCCAAGAGAATAATTCAATTTATGCCAACATATCTAATTTATACACACATGCCTAGTTATGGTACAGCATGTAACAACCCACCCATAGGCCGAGTAGAGCTCTCAAATTTGAACAAATTCTAAATTGATTATTGCATCATATCAAAATTTTTAGTGCCAATATTCATTAAAAATTCTTTCCTCTTGAGTGTTTGCTGATATTTCAAAAGTGTGAGTAGTAGCACATAATAGAGAACTCTTATGTGTAACTCTTCCTCTTCTTCATGAAGGAAAAAGGAAAGAAAGAAATCCTACAAATTGTAACAGTTTTTTACTGTTTGAAAGTTATCTTTGGTTTTCTCTTAAAGATTACAGGAAAGCAAAAGATGTTATATCATCTAATTGTTTTAACTTTTGTAGTTGTGTTTGGAAGCTTTTTTTCTAAGTTGGTGAAAAGCTAACTTTGGGGAACAAAAACAAAATTAGTAACCATCAAAGTTAGTGGTACATATCAGTATCATCTGAGTTCTGGATTCTTCCTTCTGTACTCCATGGATATTAGTGAAATAAGTACCCCTTTCACAGGTGCCACCCATAGCACATCACTACAATATTATTGAAATTGGTTGGTTGGTTATTTATTTATTTATTTTTAAATACTGGTTTTCTGTGGTCCCTGAATATTACTTTCTTTTTGTTAGATAGAGAGCCGGGGGTGAGGGTGGAGGAGACTGAGGGAAAGAATCTTAAGCAGGCCCCCCACTCAGTGCTGAGCCTGACGTAGGACTGTATCCCATGACCCTGAAATCATGACCTGAGCTGAAATCAAGAGTTGAATGCTTAACCGACTGAGCCATCTAGGTGCTCTCACCCACCCAATATTGCATTAAAGAAAAAAACATTTAAATGATAGACTCTTGAATATTAGACAATAGAAAAGGAGGGTAGGATCTCAAATCTTAATTTTTAATTTTCAGTGCAGAAGGAATTACATTATTATGAGCATGTGTAGAATAAATAAGGTTTTCACAGTCCTTAAGGACATAGGAAATTGGCCATGAATAAGACATGTCTGTTCATTCATTAGGGATTATTTATCATTTTTACATTTTAATTTAAAATTTTAATTTTAAAAATATTCCATATATAAATCTAAAAATCACTCTTAAGATTTTTAAAGTATAAGTCTAGAAATATGGTTGCCACTGGATTGGATATTGTTCTTACTTCCTTAATTCCTTACTTAACATTTAACATGGCTTTACTATGCAGACTCGTTCTTCTACCTTCACTTAAGTGCCTCACCAAATTAACTACCATTTTCATAAAATGTACTGACTGATACCCAGAGCATGCTAAGAACTCACGGCTGATAGGCTACTCACCAATACATCCAAATACTTTGATTTCCACTTGTTGCATTGAATGCCTATCCAGGGTGAGTTGTTTGCTCTTGGACACATTTATACTTGTTATTATAGTCTGCAGTTTAATTTAATATCAGAGAAAACAGCAAAACTTAAGTATTAATGAGAACTGCTTGTAAGAAAATTGACAGCTTTGGAAGACTTGGTATATGTAAATAGATTCTAAAAATTGCTGCAAAACTTAAAATTTGGAATTAGAAAAGAATTGGGGAAAAATGATAAAAATCCTGAAAAGTTCTGTACATGGATTGTTTCACACATTTTAAATTCCTGCTCTGCTTTTAAAAATAGACTGGAAATTTTATTCATTCTAGAATGGGTAGCTTATGCAAGAATTTTCAGTGGACTTAATGCTAAAAAAATTCATGAATAGAAGTATGGTTATATGTTATATTAAAGTGTTTGTATATGTGTTTTTAACGGATTCCTATATTAAGTGCTTTTTAAAAAATTAAAAGGATGCCTGGGTGGCTCAGTGGTTGAGCATCTGCCTTCAGCTCAGGTCGTGATCCCAGGGTCCTGGGATTGAATCCCATCTTAGGCTCCCCATGGGGAGCCTGCTTCTCCCTCTGCCTTTGTCTCTGCCTCTGTCTGTTTGTATTTCATCAATCAATAAATAAAGTCTTAAACAAAAATTAAATGACTGGGGGACCTGGGTGGTGCAATCAGTTAAGTATCTGATTCTTGGTTTTGGCTCAGGTCGTGATCTCAGGGTCATGAGTTTGAGCCCCACATTGGACTCTGTGGTCAGTGTGGAGTCTGCTTGAGATTCTTTCTCCCTCTCCTTCTATCCCTCCCACTCTGCGCTCTCTTTCTCTCTCTCTTAAATATATAAATAAATATTTTTAAAAATTAAGTGACCAACATGGGATCCAACTGTATTATATAAGAGGATGTCTGTTACAACTTCCTTAATGTAAAATTACCAGCCATGTTAGAAATGTGACTGACATGTGAAGACATGCCAGGATTTAGGAGTTATCTATCATAGTTGTGTAAAAGCAGCTAAGGCCAGCCTGATATGATGTGATTGTAACTATGGCTTAGCTCTGAAGCAAAGCCAATGAAGGACATAGGACCAGAGTCAAATGGAAGACCAAGACAATTTAGTGTTAAGGAAGGACAGTTGGGAGAAAATTTAAAGGAGTAGTTATCAGTGATAAAAGTAATGCTCAGAAGTTGAGCAGAATGGGGAAATCCCATTGAATTTGACATGAATAGATTGTCAAATTGGTGATCAGAAAGAGCTATTTGTAAAGGGAGAATCCAGATTGCAAATCAGAAGTGTATGAAAAATTAGCATACGGGGACGCCTGAGTGTCTCAGCAGTTGAGCATCTGCCTTTGGCTCAGGGCGTGATCTCGGGATCCAGGATCGAGTCCCGTGTTGGGCTCCCTTTGGGGAGCCTGCTTCTCCCTCTGCCTGTGTCTCTGCCTCTCTCTCTGTGTGTATTTCATGAATGATTGAATAAATAAGTCTTAGAAAGAAAGAAAGAAAGAAAGAAAGAAAGAAAGAAAGAAAGAAAGAAAGAAAGAAATTAGCATGCAAAGGTGATGTGAACTCAGTATTCTTTCATGAATGAAAGGAAAGAAAGGAAAAAGTAACTTGAGATAGAATCAGGGTCAAGATCAGGTGAAAGGGTGAAATTGAGGATATTAACAAGTTGAATAAGATCCTGGAGAAGATGGAAAGCAGTGTTATCCAGATGGATTATCCTTGGAAAGGATCCAGGGACATCTCTTTCCCTGAAATCTTAGAGAAGAGAAGATGCCTGGTAATACGGGAAAAAGTTGACATTGAGGGAAGAAACAATTTTTTTGAGAATCCATTTAGAATAAGATGGTCTGAATTTTTCAGGGCTGGGCTCAGAAGTAGAAATAAAAACTGAAACAAATATGCTTTAGTTAACACAGAGTTGGGAATTGGGAGGATGCTTAGAGTAGATCAGTTTGGTCATCTTGGAAGCTAATGAGAGCATGGTTAAAATGCCTGGCCATGGAATTCAGGCTGGCAGGGAAGAGGCCCGACTAGACCAGTAAAATAAACAAGATAGGAGGCACGGGGGATGGTGTGTTACCGTAAAGATGGAGAACACGTGGTTGAGGTAGATCTTGTGGTCAAAGAAGGAATTTCAGTTTGAGATCTTAGAGGTGGAACAGTTCCCAATGGTGACAATGGCTAAATATGAGTAAAAATAGAGGTTATCTGAATCA